CTTTACCATATTTTCCACCGTCCGGAGATACTTTGCGCACTGCATGTGTCCGTTGTACTCGGCGAGGTCGGCGGCGGTGTACCCGTCATTGTCCTTGATGCTGAGCTTCACTCCATTCACCACCAGGATCTGACAGCACTGCAACAAAACACACAATGAGGGTGCTGACTGTACTGCCTGGCCAGGGGGCACATCAAATACGCTTTTCGGGGAACCCCTCCATGACTCCTGCGGGCCCCGCCCACATTTACCAGCAGCTACCGTGAAGTATAACTAAAGGAAACACCTATTTTTCAGTATTGGATGGAGTGGTGAGGTGTTAGACCCCCTGTCAGGTTTTTATTGCTGTCTGTGCCCATTAGGGAGATTCCCCCCCCTATTGTATATAGATCCCCCCATTGAATATAGATTCCCCCCCATTGAATATAGATTCCCCCCTATTGTATATAGATTCCCCCCTATTGTATTTAGATCCCCCCATTGTATATAGATCCCCCCTTTTGTATATAGATCCCCCCATTGTATATAGATTCCCCCCCTATTGTATATAGATTCCCCCCCATTGTATATAGATTCCCCCCTATTGTATATAGATTCCCCCCCTATTGTATTTAGATCCCCATTGTATATAGATTCCCCCCTTTTGTATATAGATTCCCCCCCATTGTATATAGATTCCCTCCTCTATTGTATATAAATTCTCCCCCCCATTGTATATAGATCCCCCCATCGTATATAGATTCCCCCCTATTGTATATAGATCCCCCCATTGTATATAGATTCCCCCCCATTGTATATAGATTCCCCCCCATTGTATATAGATTCCCCCCCATTGTATATAGATTCCCCCCTATTGTATATAGATTCCCCCCTATTGTATATAGATCCCCCCATTGTATATAGATCCCCCCATTGTATATAGATTCCCCCCCATTGTATATAGATCCCCCCATTGTATATAGATTCCCCCCCATTGTATATAGATTCCCCCCCATTGTATATAGATTCCCCCCTATTGTATATAGATTCCCCCCCATTGTATATAGATTCCCCCCTATTGTATATTGATCACCCCCCATTGTATATAGATTCCCCCCTATTGTATATAGATCCCCCCTCTATTGTATATAGATCCCCCCCTCCATTGCATATAGATTCCCCTCCCCCCATTGTATATAGATTCCCCCCTATTGTATATAGATCCCCCCTATTGTATATAGATTCCCCCCTATTGTATATAGATTCCCCCCCATTGCATACAGATCCCCCCTCATTGTATATAGATCCCCCCCCCCCCCCATTATCATTGAAAAGTGAAATTAAAGGAAAATCACAAATTTGGGGTGTCCCCATTAAAGTAATAGAGGAGAAATCTTCCCATGCGGACCTGGGGGGTCCCCAAGAGATTCCCTTAACCCATCGCCCTCCAGAGGATTCCCCCCCCCCCCCCTTCCTGACCAGGCCATTTTTTTGCGTTACGGCGCTGCCTTACTTTAACTGACAATTGTGCAGTCATGCAACGCTGCACCCAAATGATGCACCCAGCCCTCCTCCTGTCGGTGATCGCCGGTAATCACCGGGCGCCGGCAGGTAATCACCAGCCGGAAACTGGTGATTTACACCTGGGGCCGCAATCGGCGGCGTGGGTAGGGGGCGGTCCCCTACCCGGAAATGCAGAATCACATATACAGTTGCAAGAAAAAGTATGTGAACCCCCCCCTTGGGATTCCGTGGAGTTTTGCATGAATTGGGCATAAAAGGTGCTCTGAACGTCATCTAAGTCACAACAATAGAAGAGCACAGTCTGCTGAACATAATACTACACAAACATTAGATGTTGCCATGGTTTAATTGCACATAACATGTAAACATTCACAGTGCAGGGAGGAAAAAGTATGTGAGGCCCTAGCTTAATGACTTCTCTCAGAGCTAATTGGAGCCAGGAGTGAGCCAACCTTGACTCCAATCAGTGTGATGATATTGGATGTGTTGCTGACACCTGTTTTGGGTTTACTGGTTTCAAGAAGCACTGTCTGATGTGAACCATGCCTCGCAGAAAAGAGCTCTCAGAAGACCTACCATCAAGAATTGTTGACTTGCATGAAGCTGGAAAGGGTTACAAAAGTATCTCCAAAAGCCTTGATGTTCCTGTGTCCACGGTAAGACAGACGGTCTACAAATGGAGAAAGTTTAGCACTGTTGCTACTCTCCCCCTAGGCGAGGTCGTCCTGTAAAAATGACTGCAAGAGCACAGCGCAGAATGCTGCATGAGGTAAAGAAGAATCCCAGAGTGTCAGCTAAAGACCTACAGAAATCTCTGGCACATGCTGACATTTTTGTTGACACATCTACAATAAGGAAAACATTAAACAAGAATGGAGTACATGGGAGGACACCACGGAGGAAGCCATTGATGTCCACAAAGAATATTGCAGCACGTTTGAAGTTTGCAAAAGAGCACCTGAATATTCCACAGCACTACTGGCAGAATATACTGTGGACAGATGAAACCAAGATGGAGTTGTTTGGGAAGAACACACAACACTATGTGTGGAGAAAAAAAGGCACAGCACACCAACATCAAAACCTCATCCCCACTGTGAAACATGGCGGAGGGAGCATCATGGTTTGGGGCTGCTTTGCTGCCTCAGGGCCTGGACGGATTGTTGTCATTGATGGGAAAATGAATTCCAGAGTTTATCAAGACATTTTGCAGGAAAACGTACGACCATCTGTCCGCCAACTGAAGCTCCGCAGAGGATGGGTGATGCAACAGGACAATGACCCAAAGCATACAAGTAATTCAACAAAACAATGGCTGCAACAGCACAGAATACGCCTTCTGGAGTGGCCCAGTCAGAGTCCTGACCTCAACCCCATTGAAATGCTGTGGCATGACCTTAAGAGAGCGATTCACACCAGACATCCCAAGAATATTGCTACACTGAAACAGTTTTGTGAAGAGGAGTGGTCCAAAATGACTCCAGATCGTTGTGCAGGTCTGATCTGCAACTACAGGAAACGTTTGGTGGAGGTTATTGCTGCCAAAGGAGGGTCAACCAGTTATTAAGTCCAAAGGTTCACATACTTTTTCCTCCCTGCACTGTGAATGTTTACATGTTATGTGCAATTAAACCATGGCAACATCTAATGTTTGTGTAGTATTATGTTCAGCAGACTGTGTTCTTCTATTGTTGTGACTTAGATGACGTTCAGAGCACATTTTATGCCCAATTCATGCAAAACTCCACGTAATCCCAAGGGGTTCACATACTTTTTCTTGCAACTGTATCTGTTTGTATCCCCATGTCCTGTGCGCACTGATTCTGAATGGGAGGGTCTGACTCATTTTAATCACCTGGTGCACTTTCAGTGTTCTGGTGAGAAAAGCGGCAGGGTCTGCATCCCTTTAGAAGTATTTAAAGCGGTATTAAACCCAAAACAATAAATGTCATACATTGCAGCTTACCAATCATTAGATGTGGTGGCTGCATTAGTTTTCTATTTTAGGCTTCTCCCCCTCTGTTTTCACCTGGTGATCTGGCCAGTACCACACCTCCTGTATTAGAGTGCCCCCACTCTGGTTGAAGGAGCACAGGGGGCACATTAGGATAGCAGCATTGTCAGTCTAGGGGGAGGGGAGTGTTAGATGGACCAGCAGATTTAAATCCAATACAGACTCCAGCTCTCGCTTTATAATCAGTTACAAGAAACAGTTGTTTTTTTTTTCAATTTGAGGTATAGGTTTTACATAAATAAAAACTGATCATTACAAGCACCCGTCAGTGGTAAATGGTTTGTCTCAACTCTCTAACTGCTACCGGAGAGCTTGTTCTGTTGAAAAATAACAGACTTACAGGCTACATCATCCCGTGAAAATAAAGGCAATAAAGTCTAAAAAAGAAAACTAATGCAACCATCACGATTAAGAATTTGGTAATCTGCAATATAATAAATGTTTGTTTTTGAGTTTAATACCACTTTAACCTTGGGGAGTATCACAAAAAAATGAAATTTCTATTGCAGGGGATGCTGCTTTTACCCTTGGGGAGTATCATACCAAAAGTAAAATTGTGTTGCCAGGGATGCTGCTTTTACCTTTGGGGGAGTATCACACCAAAAAACTGAAATTCACATTGCAGGTGATGCTGCTTTAACCCTTGGGGAATATGACACCAAAATTTCCTGTTGCCAGGGATGGTGCTTTTACCTTTTGGGGGAGTATCACACCAAAAGTGAAATTCCTTTTGCAGGGGATGCTGCTTTTACCCTTGGGGAGCATCACACCAAAACTGAAATTCCTATTGTAGGGGATGCTGCTTTTACCTTTGGGGAGTATCACACCAAAAGTTAAATTTCTATTGCAGGAGATGCTGCTTTTACCTTTGGGGAGTATCACACAAAAAGTGAAATTCCTATTGCAGGGGATGCTGCTTTTACCTTTGGGGAGTATCACACCAAAAGTTAAATTTCTATTGCAGGAGATGCTGCTTTTACCTTTGGGGAGTATCACACCAAAAGTGAAATTCCTATTGCAGGGGATGCTGCTTTTACCTTTGGGGAGTATCACACCAAAAGTGAAATTCCTATTGCAGGGGATGCTGCTTTAACCTTTTGGGAGCATCACACCAAAACTGAAATTCCTATTGTAGGGGATGCTGCTTTTACCCTTGGCGAGCATCACACCAAAAGTGAAGTTCCTATTGCAGGGGTTGCTGCTTTTACCCTTGGGGAGTATCACACCAAAAGTGAAGTTCCTATTGCAGGGGATGCTGTTTTTACCCTTGGGGAGTATCACACCAAAACTGAAATTCCTGTTACCAGGGATGCTGCTTTGACATTTGGGGGAGTATCACACCAAAACTGAAATCTCTATTGCAGGAGATGCTGCTTTTACCCATATGATCATGGATGTGTTCAGTGTTCAGCTACGTGGACATTACATAATGAAAGGTACAAATTTTGGAAAAATAATGATAAAAAAAAATTACCTCCAGTTCTCCATTCTCTGCGGCGTCGTGCAGAGGGGTCCCCCCGAACTTGTCAGTGCTCATTTCCCCTCCATGGAGGAGGAGCCAGCTCAGGACCTTGGCATGACCCCTACTGGCGGAAAAGTGCATGGCGGTGGCTCCATCCGTGTCACGCTCGGAGAGACTGATATCCGTGAAACTCATCTGGAGGAGTCAAGGAAAGAAGAGTTACTCTATGGGTGAGTCTGACACCATCGGATGACACCATTGGCTGGTACTCTCTTTTGTCATCGTCTGTACCGGCAGGCATTCTCTGTGGCTATTGGAAGACACTGAGGTGACGGGTTTAGTTTTCTGTTCCCTTCGGTTACAAAATGCAGACAAAAGCAAAAGTCGTTAAGTTACTCGTTTCATTTAAATTATTCACTTTTTTGACCGGATTCACTTTTTTTTTTTTTTCCAATTTTTTTGAAGTATTCTATCATTTTTATCTGAATTCATCGTGAAGAATAGTTGATTCCATTATATTTGCAATCTGAAATTCAGATTTCGGAAGACGGCTATACTCTTTTCTATTCTATTTTTTCTATTGTATTCTATTATTTTATTTTCTGTTCTCTTCTATTATTTTCTCTTTTTTTGTATTCTATTTTATTCTATTCTTTTCCAAATTCAAAAATCGAATTTCAAAAGACGGCTATATTCTTTTTTATTTTATTTTATTCTCTTTGAAATTTGAAAGACAGCTATATATTATTTTTATTTTATTCTATTCTGTTCTATTCTATTTTTTCTAGTCTATGCTATTTTTTTTATATAATCTATTTTATACTTTAATATTCTATTCTATTTTCTCTAGTCTATTCTATTATTTTTTTATTCTATTCTATACTGCTTTATTCTATTCATTTCTATTCTATTTTATTCAATTCTTTTCGAAATTCGAATTTCAGAAGACAGCTATATTTTATTTTTTCCTATTCTATTCTTGTATTCTTTATTCTATTCAATTCTATTTGAAGACAGCTATACTCTTTTTTTTTTCTATTCTATTTTTTCTATTGTATTCTATTATTTTATTTTCTGTTCTCTTCTATTATTTTCTCTTTTTTGTATTCTATTTTTCCAAATTAAAAAATCGAATTTCAAAAAACTATTCTTTTTTTTATTTTATTTTATTCTCTTTGAAATTTGAAAGACAGCTATATTATATTTTATTTTATTCTAATCTGTGCTATTCTATTTTTCTAGTTTATTCTATTCTATTCTTTTCTATTCTATTTTTTCTAGTCTATTCTATTCTTTAATATTCTATTCTATATTGCTTTATTCTATTAATTTCTATTCTATTTTATTCAATTCTTTTCAAAATTAAAATTTCAGAAGACAGCTGTATTCCATTTTTTTCTATTCTATTCTTTTATTCTTTTCTATTGAATTCTATTTGATTCCTTTTCTTTCCATGCTATTCTTATATTTTCTATTCCATTTATTCTATTTTTTTTTTCAAAAATCGAAAATTAACTTTCAAAAGACGGCTATATTCTATTTTATTTTATGTTAATCTCTTCGAAATTCGAATTTCGAAAGAAGGCTGTATTATATTTTATTTGATTCTATTTTTTCTAATCTATTCTATTCTTTTATATTCTATTGTGCTTCATTCTATTCTTTTCTATTCGATTTTATTCAATTCTTTTTTAAATTAAAATTTCGGAAAAACACCTATAGTCTATTTTTTTTCTTCTGTCTATTCTTTTCTTTTTTTATTCTATTCTATTAGAATCTATTAATTTATTCTCCATTCTCTTTTATTCCTTTCGAAAATGGAATTTCGAAAGATGGCATTCTATTCTATTGTATTCTTTATGAGGGTGTGGGGGGATGGGGGTGGGATACTGGTGCTCTGGTGCTTAAAGAGGAACTTCAGTCCTTTCATTTTCATTAAAAGTCAGCAGCAACAAATACTTAAAGATGTTTAAAATGAAGCCGCACCAAACCGTGTGATGCCTTGGTGGCGGTGAAAACATCCATGTTTCTGAGAAGATGGCATAGAGGTGCCATTAGGCATTCCTGTGCGGTGCAGATAAAATGTGCGACCCCGCACTGTATTTGGGTCAAAATTTTAGTCGTGCCTCCCCAGGTCTTAGAGATTACACTCACCAGTCTGATGAAGACAATTGATGTAAGGGGGCACTCTGATGAAGACCATAGATGTAAGGGGGCACTCTGATGAAGACAATTGATGTAAGGGGGCACTCTGATGAAGACAATTGATGTAAGGGGGCACTCTGATGAAGACAATTGATGTAAGGGGGCACTCTGATGAAGACAATTGATGTAAGGGGGCACTCTGATGAAGACAATAGATGTAAGGGGGCACTCTGATGAAGACCATAGATGTAAGGGGGCACATTGATGAAGACAATAGATGTAAGGGGGCACTCTGATGAAGACAATTGATGTAAGGGGGCACTCTGATGAAGACAATAGATGTAAAGGGGCACTCTGATGAAGACAATTGATGTAAAGGGGCACTCTGATGAAGACAATTGATGTAAGGGGGCACTCTGATGAAGACCATATATGTAAGGGGGCACTCTGATGAAGACCATAGATGTAAGGGGGCACTCTGATGAAGAAAATTGATGTAAGGGGGCACTCTGATGAAGACAATAGATGTAAAGGGGCACTCTGATGAAGACAATTGATGTAAAGGGGCACTCTGATGAAGACAATTGATGTAAGGGGGCACTCTGATGAAGACAATTGATGTAAGGGGGCACTCTGATGAAGATAATTGATGTAAGGGGGTACTCTAATGAAGATAATTGATGTAAGGGGGTACTCTAATGAAGACAATTGATGTAAAGGGGCACACTGATGAAGAAAACAGATGTAAGGGGACACTCTGATGAAGGCAATAGATGTAAGGGGGCACTCTGATGAAGACAATTGATGTAAGGGGGCACTCTGATGACAACAATTGATGTAAGGGGGCACCCTGATGACAACAATTGATGTAAGGGGCACTCTGATGAAGAGAATTGATGTAAGGGGGCACTCTAATGAAGACAACAGATGTAAGGGGGGCACTCTGATGAAGACAATAGATGTAAGGGGGCACTCTGATGAAGACAATAGATGTAAGGGGGCACTCTAATGAAGGCAATAGATGTAAGGGGGCACTCTGATGACGACAATTGATGTAAAGGGGCACTTTAATGAAGGCAATAGATTTAAGGGGGCACTCTGATGAAGACAATAGATGTAAAGGGGCACTCTAATGAAGACAATTGATGTAAGGGGGCACTCTGATGAAGGCAATAGATGTAAGGGGGCACTCTAATTAAGACAATTGATGTAAGGGGGCACTCTAATGAAGACAATTGATGTAAGGGGGCACTCTGATGACAACAATTGATGTAAGGGGCACTCTGATGAAGGCAATAGATGTAAGGGGGCACTCTGATGACAACAATTGATGTAAGGGGGCACTCTGATGAAGGCAATAGATGTAAGGGGGCACTCTAATGAAGACAATAGATGTAAGGGGGCACTCTGATGAAGGCAATAGATGTAAGGGGGAACTCTTATGAAGACAATTGATGTAAGGAGGCACTCTGATGAAGACAATAGATGTAAAGGGGCACTCTGATGAAGGCAATAGATGTAAGGTCGCACTCTGATGAAGACAATTGATGTAAGGTCGCACTCTGATGAAGACAATTGATGTAAGGGGATACTCTGATGAAGAAAATTGATGTAAGGGGGCACTCTGATGAAGACAATTGATGTAAGGGGGAACTCTTATGAAGACAATTGATGTAAGGAGGCACTCTGATGAAGACAATAGATGTAAAGGGGCACTCTAATGAAGACAATTGATGTAAAGGAGCACTCTGATGAAGATAATAGATGTAAGGGGGCACTCTGATGACAACAATATATGTAAGGGGGCACTCTGATGAAGACCATAGATGTAAGGGGGCACTCTGATGAAGACAATTTATGTAAGGGGGCACTCTGATGAAGACAATTGATGTAAGGGGGCACTCTGATGAAGACAATTTATGTAAGGGGGCACTCTGATGAAGACAATTGATGTAAAGGGGCACTCTAATGAAGACCATAGATGTAAGGGGGCACTCTGATGAAAACGATTGCAATGGAAATCGCATGACTTTGGAGTTGCACAAGTGTGTACGGAGCCCTACTGGTTATAGAGATAGGGAGCCTAGAGGGAATCTGAACTTTCTAAACTGTTCCCTATTTCAGTTATGGAAAGTGGTGGCCACAAAATGTGATAGGATTGGCTGTAGCTTGCTCCGCCCACAATTTTCATGCAGAATATATTTCAGCGGATGGTTTATTGAAGGAAACCTACCATAAAAATACAGTGGCTTCTGCTGTTAAATTCCCCCTGAAAATGCTACACAACTGGCTGCCCCGTTGATCCTCTGGTTTCAGTAGTTTTGAGTATGCCTTTGAGCCACTGGATCCAGAAGAATGCAATTTAGGAGTTCTTACTTCACTTGCTGCATGCTTATTCCGGCACAGCGATTAAGATTCAGTACTGAGGTCAGTGGATCAGCATGACGGCCAGCAAAAGGTAGCCAGGACGGTCCCCCTGTGACAAGTTTCCGTTTAGGTGGTTACATATCCCCAGTGAAGTGACTAGTCCTCAGGTGATACACAGAAATGAAACAAATCCTCCTACATACGTTGCATCTATTTATCTGCAGCTGTTTCTTCTCTACATCCATTCAAAGTCCAGAATTTATACAGCTTGTCTGATCTTTCAGAAATCAGGGGGTGGAAGTTGAAGCTACACTCTGCAGAGCTCAGTGAGAACTGATTGGAGGGAAGGGACACCCCCCACCCCCTCCTTCACACAGGAACAGAGCTGAGGCTGTCAATCACAGGCTGCGTGCTGGAACTCCCTCGCCTGACACCTTTTCAACTCTTCTTGTCAGGAAAACTTGTCAGAAGTGATAGCAGAGGAAGGAGGCAGCAGACAGAAATGACACTCAGTGCTCCAGACTGAGACAAGTACACACTATAGAGGGATGTGCTTTGTTCCTCTTTCATGTCTGAGGTTTACAGCCACTTGAACCTCTCAGACAGTTCTACTTACCAGCCAAACAATGACCGTACTGTGACCCATCTGAGCGGCTGCGTGCAATGGGGTCATTCCATCCACCGCTCGTATGTGGGGGTCGGCCCCCCCGCAGTCCTTCGCCAGATACTGTATGACCTCCAAGTGTCCTTCCTGGCAGGCTAGGTAGAGGGGTGTGGCACCGTTCTTGGTCTGGGAATTGATTGAACTGCAAGAAAAGAGGACAAAGGAATCCGATTTATTTCCTCTTCAATAACTTTGTATCAGATATATAATAAGAAATGGACATTAAAGTAGAACTCCAGCCACAGGGCACCGCCGCCCCCCCTGGAGCCCCTGTAAAAAAAAAAAAAAAACTATACCCACCTTTTCTGCCGCAGTCAGCAAACCGGTCCAGTGACACCACCAGTCCTTCATCTAGGACTGATGGGTACTGGGTTCAGAACCCCTGGGGAAGGGGGGGGCGTGTCCATGACAACCTGCGCTCACAAGAAGTGAGCCAAATGCTCGCCAGACCGGTGGAGCTGGATGGAGGAAAAAATGGGAAGCAGTTCTGCAGTGTGGAATGCAATGGGGGGGGGGGGGGGCAGGGGCGGACTGACCATTTGAAAACTCGGGCACTGTACCTTTTTCGTAGGCTTTTTTGAGTTTGGGCAAGGGCACAGGGGCCCCATGATCCCCTATTTCCCAGGGGGCCCCATGACTTGCCAGTCCGCCCCTGGGGGGGGGGGGGTTTAATTTAAAAAAAATCTGAGGTTTGCTTCTTAACCCCTTGATCTCCAGAAGGTTTTACCTCCTTCATGACCAGGGCATTTTTTGCCATTTGGCACTGCTCTATTTTAATTGGCAATTGCACGGTCATGCAACGCTGTACCTGAATGGAATTTATATAATTCTTAAACACAAATAGAGATTTCTTTTATTTATTTCAGGTACTTATATAGCACCATCTACACAGCGCTTTACATATACATTGTACATTCACAACAGTCCCCGCCCCCGAGGAGCGTACAATCTAAGGTCCCTAACTCACATTCAAACATACACATACTAGGGCCAATTTAGACAGGAGCCAATTCACCTACCAGCATGTCTTTGGACTGCGGCAGGCACAGGGAGAACATGCAAACTCCAGGCAGGTGGTGCTGTGGCTGGGATTTGAACCAATGACCCGAGTACTCTTAGGTGGAAGCAGGGGCCCACTGACCATTTGGGAACTCGGGCACTGCCCGAGGGCCCGGGGTCAGTAGGGGGCCCCATGAGATGCCCCCTGTTACCTTTCATAGGCCTTTTTGGGTGTGTTTTGAGTGTGGGCAAGGATACAGGGGCCCCATGATTCCCTATTGCCCGGGGGCCCATGAGTTGTCAGTCCGCCCCTGGGTGGAAGTGCTAACCATTTAGCCACCGTGCTGCCCCATTATGGTGGTGTTTGATCACAAATGGGGTTTTTCTATTCTTTATTATATAAACGGAAAAAAAAACTGAAATGAAAAAAAAAAACACAATATTTCTGCTATAAAATATATCCAATACAAAAAAAATCAATAAAATCAAATTTCTTCATAAATCTGGGAGGGACCACCCAAATTTTCACCATACAATATCTGGCTAGCAAGAAATCAAACTTTATTACTTGCAAACCATAATTGTATTTATGGATCGAACAATAAAAGGGTTTCACCCACCCCTCTGCAGTGAAATTAATCGATAAATCCGGATGCAGTAAAGCAATAAAAAAAAAATGTGTATATATAAATTTATATAAAAAAGTCCCACTCAAATCCTTCTAAGAATGCCATTATTATACTTTTTTTATTTGCAATAACATACAATTTTGAGGACAAGCTTTCGGGGAATGTCCCCTTCTTCAAGGTCCAAGCAGTACTGTACCTTGAAGACCTTGAAGAAGGGGACACTCCCCGAAAGCTTGTCCTCAAAATTGTATGTTAGTGCAAATAAAAAAAGTATCACGGACAGTACTCAGTTGTTTCTGTCGCAAATGCACTAATACGGCTACAATCACCTCAAGCAATCATTTGTTTAAAACTCATAGATAAAGCATTCTTCTTTTTTTCCACTAGGGGGCGATGTCACACAGAAGCATTGGCTGGTCCTTCGCATTCGCTGACCCCATTCCTCACATACTTGATGAATGAAACTGCCATTTGCTGCGTAAAGTTTTTCACGGATTGAAGCTCACAGAGAAATCCAATCTTCTTTAGATATCTTTAACAACGAAAAACAATTCTGTAATTTATACTTATCCGAGTCAAATCATTTCTATCTGGCAGATGTAGGAGTTTGGCCGTGAGGTGATGCCATTGATTGGCTAACTAAATCGATTGTTGTGCAGGTTTTTGAAAGTGTGCACAGGGCTGTGTTAATGCATGGGCACTGCCCAGGGGCCCCAGGTGCATGAGGACCCCAGGATACTCTTGCATTACATCATACTTGCCAGCTGTCCCGGATTTGCTGGGACAGTGACACTTTTTACTAAGCTGTCCCAGGATGGCTCGAACCTGGACTGTGCCCTCCTGATCCCAGTATTGTGTCCTCCTGATCCCAGTATTGTGCCCTCCTGATCCCAGTATTGTGCCCTCCTAACCCCCCCCCCCCCCCTGTACTGTGCCCTCCTGACCCCCCCTGTACTGTGCCCTCCTGACTCCCCCTGTACTGTACCCTCCTGATCACAGTATTATGCCCTCCTGATCCAAGTACTGTGTCCTCCTGATCCCAGTACTGTGCCCTCCTGATCCCAGTACTGTACCCTCCTGATCCCAGTACTGTGCCCTCCTGATCCCAGTACTGTGGCCTCCTGATCCCAGTACTGTGTCCTCCTGATCCCAGTACTGTGCCCTCCTGATCCCAGTACTGTGCCCTCCTGATCCCAGTACTGTGCCCTCCTGATCCCAGTACTGTACCCTCCTGATCCCAGTATTGTGCCCTCCTGTCTCCCCTGTGTTGTGCTCTCCTGACTCCCCCTGTACTGTGTCCTCCTGATCCCAGTATTGTGCCCTCCTGATCTCAGTATGGTTCCCTCTTGATCCCAGTATTGTGCCCTCCTGACTCCCCTGTATTATGCCCTCTTGACTCCCCACCGTGTTGTGCTCCCCTGACTCCCCCTGTACTGTGCCCTCCTGACTCCCCCTTTACTGTGCCCTCCTGATCCCAGTATTGTTTCCTCTTGATCCCAGTACTGTGCCCTCCTGATCCCAGTATTATGCCCTTCTGATCCCAGTATTGTTCCCTCCTGACTCCCCCTGTACTGTACCCTCCTGATCCTGGTATTATGCCCTCCTGATCCCAGTACTGTGTCCTCCTGATCCCAGTACTGTGCCCTCCTGATCCCAGAATTGTGCCCTCCTGATCCCAGTATTGTGCCCTCCTGTCTCCCCCGTGTTGTGCTCTCCTGACTCCCCCTGTACTGTGCCCTCCTGATCCCAGTATTGTTCCCTCCTGACTCCCCCTGTACTGTACCCTCCTGATCCTGGTATTATGCCCTCCTGATCCCCCCTGTACTGTGTCCTCCTGATCCCAGTATTGTGCCCTCCTGATCCCAGTATTGTGCCCTCCTGATCCCAGTATTGTGCCCTCCTGATCCCAGTACTGTGCCCTCCTGATCCCAGTATTGTGTCCTCCTGATCCCAGTATTGTGCCCTCCTGATCCCAGTATTGTGCCCTCCTGATCCCAGTATTGTGCCCTCCTGATCCCAGTATTGTGCCCTCCTGATCCCAGTACTGTGCCCTCCTGATCCCAGTACTGTGCCCTCCTGATCCCAGTACTGTGCCCTCCTGATCCCAGTATTGTGCCCTCCTGATCCCAGTATTGTGCCCTCCTGATCCCAGTATTGTGCCCTCCTGATCCCAGTACTGTGCCCTCCTGATCCCAGTACTGTGCCCTCCTGATCCCAGTATTGTGTCCTCCTGATCCCAGTATTGTGCTCTTTGTGTTGATTAGTCTTTGATTTATGGTTTTCTTATTGTTTTAAAATCAATTTTATTGAACGTACCAATAAATATATCTTTAATTCTATCAACTATTTACACTTTAATTCTTGAAAGTACAGTAGGTGCATAAATTGTGTCAGGCTGGTAAGGGGCCCCAATGCATTACTTTGCCCAGGGGCCCTTGATGCTACTAAGACAGCCCTGTGTGTGCAGGCCTCTTCTCCAGGCAACTAGAACAAATGCTGTTTTTGTACAATGAAAGCAGAGTGCAGAGAAATTATGGAGTGACTCCACCAAAGTCGCACTGAAGTCACCGACTGAATTCCTACAAGCCTCCATTTGGAGACCAAATCACATTGGAGGTAATGGTTCTGGCTCCAAGAGCTCACACTCCAATGTTGTATACAATTTTAAACTCAATGTAAATCCCAACTGAATGGCATGTTGCTAAAGCTCTATGTACCATAAAAAAGAAAAAAAACCCTTTCTCCTCCTTTTTTTTAATTCTTCGATACATCTCAATGATCTCCTGCAGTCTCTTTGCAGCCACTTCCTGTCTACATGCACTCCAGCTACATTGCATATCTTACGGCAGGTTTTTTTCTGGTGACATCAGTGGACCATGCCTGTGTTAATAGGTGCGGAAACTGCTGCTGGTAGTCTCCATTGGAATCCAGCTTGACAGGGTGACAACGTAGGAGCTTAATAGGAAAACATTGACAGAGTGTTGTCACCCTATTACAGGAAGTGCCTGAACAACGGCATACATGGTGGGATCTCCAGATCTACCTAAAGTGGTTGTAAGATCTTCCATACACCCAGTGAAGTGACTGGCCTCAGGTGATACACAGAGGTTAAACAAATCCTCCTGCATAAGTTGTACCTGTTTATCTGCTGTATTCACTTCTCTACTTCCATTCAAAATCCAGAGTTTATAAAGCTTGTCTGAGCTGTCACAAAAAAGGGGGAGAGCTGTCGTTACACACAGCAGTGCTCTGCAAGCTGATTGGAGGGAAGAGACACACTCCCTCCTCACACAGCACACAGGAACATAGCTGAGGCTATCAATCACAGGCTGTGTGCTGGAGCTCCCTCACTGTCACCTTTTTATCCCTTGGTGTCAGGAAAACTTGTCAAAAGTGGTAGCAGAGGAAGGAGGAAGCAGACAGAAAGGACACTCAGTGCTCTGGACTGAGACAAGTACACACTATAGAGGGATGTACTTTGTCCATATTTCATGTCTGAGGTTTACAACCACA